GGCAGCTGGAACCCACCGATTGCTCCTTGGGAAGATACAATAGACACTGTGTTTCTGTAAAGTCCACAGTCTGGGGAACTCTCTGGGGCAATGCTACTCTGAGTCAAAGGTCTTGCTGGCACACGGCACACTCAGAATTTATATGAAATGAAGTTTCAAAACACAAGAAACTTGTTTTTAGCATTCTCTTCAGATTGTGGTGATCAAATATCAGTTTTTGAAACTTAGGGTTAATCTTACATGTATAGTATATTTTCATGTGCATTGTGACATTCAATAATGAGGATTCAGATACAGAATTTTTGTGGAAAAATCAGATAGGACACTGACCAAAAAGAATAAAATGAGTGGGCATGGTTGGGCCCACATAACTTCATGCTGTTAAAGGCCTCTGATTTTATTTTAAATATCTTCTATGATGGGTAAAAATTAACACATACTCTTTAAACACTGAAATTTAAGAGACTTAGCCCCCAGATTATGAAATAGTTATAACTGAAAATGGATGTTTGATTCTGCAGATTGAGTGTCCCATCTACCATATACCTGCTCACTCACATTTCCAGTAATGAAAACACAAAACAGTGTGATTTGTTTATCCACTACCATTGGCCATACAGGGAATCGAGCAAATATGTAATGGGAGGTGCCATTGTATCTTGTGTTCAGGTCAAAGTATTCCTTATCAATGAGCCATTTCCTTAGGGGAGATAGTACCCCTAAATAAAGAATGAAATTGGTCTTTGGGGGGAAAAATCTTAGCTGTTTCAAAAATTTGCGGCCCGCTAAAACTTAACCCAACAAAAAGTCTACCTGAAAAAAAATTGTATTCTTTAGAATTTCATTTATTAGAAAGAAATGAAAATAATAAAGGAATACATTAATTCATCTTCACTTCATTTTTCTTCTTAGTGGTGAAATACAGTCTGATATGGTCCTTCTAACCTTAATTCCTTATGTGATGTATTAAGATTTCTGTGCTCGAGGTCTGTGGCTTTCTCCCATTTGGGAGTTCTCAGCTATGCTAATAGATAGGATTCAGGTGGGAGCAGGTGGACCTTAGTGAAGATGTGAACCAAGTCACGCCCTTTGCTTCCCTGGGAGTATGGGCTGCTGACAGACAACAATTGCGTCACTATCAAAACCATTCCTCGTACGTACAGTAGCCATATTGGAAACAGAGCAGGATATCCCAAGACCATGGGAAGAAAAACACATTTGAAATCTCTCTTTGAAGGGGTGGAGACCAAGACCAGAGGCTACAAAGGCTATGGGACAGAGCAAAGGAGCCAGGTTGAGACCAGAAGCTGAGGAAGGAAACCATGACACAGAACAGAGGAGCAGGGCTGGGACCAGGGGACGGGGAGGCAGAGCAACCAGCCAGCCTCCTGGTCCACAGAGGCAGAGGCCATGGACCGCATGGCTGAGCAGCTGAGGACCAGAGAGCCTGAGCCGCTGGCTGAAGAAAGGTGTTGCTGGGACCAATGACTGAATCCTTGCTGTTCACTAATCCTAATCCTGACCTGTGGTAATCTATTACCTTCCCTAATAAATCCCCCCAAGGTATGAGGTTTTTAAAAATTATTTTATTGGGGGCGGGGGGAATTATGAGTTTTGTCTATGAGTTCTCTGTGGTCATTGCAATGAATTATAGAACCCGGCATAGAAGTAGAATACGGTTGGTGTCAGGATAGGTAAAGAAAGATGGAGGGTGGAAGCATGTCTGACCTCAATAGAGAAGCTGGAAGAGGTCAGATACAGTCCTCTAACCTGTACCACTGACACAGGTGGTAATGGAAAAAGTTGAGAAACTAAAAGAGCTATTGTAGAAATGGATCTTCTATTTCACTTTTGAAGTTTGGACAGATACACGCTGGAAACAGTATCTATCCAGAATCAAAACACACGATGAAGAATGATATCAGTGAAGTAATTATTTTTTAAGTTCAAACGTAAAGGGACATTTATTTCCTAGATTTTCATCTGTAATACAAACCAAGAAAAGGATGCTGATGGCTCTAGAGGGTCTTTCTCTCTAAAATATAATTTTATCTCCTTTTTTAAGGCACTTTATTATCTTTTTTCCAAACTATTTATTAGGAGTTAATCCAGACATCATACCATTCCATAGTTCCATCACATCAAGCAGTATTATATAATTGCTACCACAATCAGTTTTAAAACATTTTCTTCCTTCTTGAATTCCTTGATATCAGCATCCTCTTACACCCCATCTTCCTCACCATACTCCCCAAACCTGAATTCTAGTTATTTTCTCTATACATTCATCAATCCTGGGTTTCATATGTACTGAAAAACTGAAAAACACATAACAAAGATTCAAGGCTACCCACAATGACAAACCACACCAAAGATAAAGCCTAATATGAAATACACACAGAAAATATTGAAAACCAGATCAAGCTCAAAGAGGTATCTGAGGAGAGATCAAGTGACAAGGTTTTAACTGTTCAAATCAAGTTTATCATTTTAAACTACAATAGTTGTCTCTCCA